TTTTGGTCATTTTGACGAACCATCTTATGAAACTTCGCCCTTTCACGGCATTCAAAACTGGTGCATTTTACATGACTTAATAATAGCTCTTTAAGAGTTTCATAAGGGAGTGAGATAGATTTTTCTGGATATGCCAAAGTTTTTAATAAGCTGTACGCTTCTCTCCCAATGAATGTCAGGAAATGTGCCACAATTTTATCACCTTTAACATCTTTCTTAGTCATGCTCCAAATTTCGAACCTTTCCAAATAATCCTCAAAAGCTTCAGAAGGTGAATGAATATCCAACTTTTCCATTGCAGGCTCCATCGCGAGGGCAATGTAGTATTCTAATTGTCGTATGACTTAGGAATTCCAGAATTAACGCAATTGAATTAAGAAGACACAGGCACCAACGAATGTATTGTATTTAGAATTCGAAATCAAGCATTCAACCAGTACAAAGTTATCATTGGTTCATTCAAACACCACATTAGTTCATTTCATAACTTAATTGTAGTCACATACACTATAGAGTCCATTATTTCATTCAAGAACTTGAAAGCTTTAGATCCTAACGTTGTGGTACGACCCACTGAAGTATCAATATTGGGGATTACTGGACCCAGACTGCCCATACGAGGATGTTAGTTGCTCTTACATACCTTGTGAATTTTTGGTTAGCGAAACAGGACTGTCAATAATGGGTTTAAGGAATTTGAAAAGGCTTAAAGTGGAGTTGTCTTTCCTAGTTTAGAAAGAAATTCTGACGCTTTACTTAAAGGTAAGATAGCTACATGTGCTAATTACAGTGGAGGTATAAAAATTCAGGCCATTAAACTTTAAGTACAGGGTGATCCAGTCTTTCTTAAAAGACGAATAATTCCTTATGGTCTTCGAGAAGCATTCCATAAGACGTTAAACGATTTGTGTGCGAAAGGCATAATTGAACCGATTTAGTCTTCGGCATGAGGTACTCCGATTGTTACAGGCTGCAATTAAACGCAACTCAATTTCGTAAATGTGCCCTTCAGCTTAGCAACCAATCAGAATGAGGCGGGAATATTGCATCCGCCATCTTTGTAAGTAATGGCTGTCGGCTTTCTTCGTTCTGTGCTTTTTTCAGCTATTTCTTTTGTGTAGCTATGTAATTTAATGTCTCAGTGTGCTAAAATGCCGCAGTTAGTCGGACGGTAAAACCCCTGGAATATGTGGTGACTATAGATTAACGTTTGACTACCATTTGTTGAAGCAGACGTGCATGACGGTCGTGCAACTTGTTTATTTAATATTTCGACATCCAATCCATTCAAATAGAGTGAGGGACAAGAGTCATGCTTATGAGGTTTACTTAAGTTTCTTCAAAGTGATGCTGTTCTTCGAACGTACTCCCCTAGTGTTCATTCGGTGCGTATTACGGGTGCATCGCCCGTGGGTATTGGTGCCGTTCTGGAGCAGGAAGGTAGACTAACTATCCGTGTTTCACGCAAACTTACTGTTACTAAGTAAGGTTATTCGCGAACTCAACGAGAAGCATTAGCTGTGTTTTGGGCTGTTAAAAGACTTCATAAATATTTATTCGGAAAGAAATTCACTATTGTTACTGATCATGAAGCTTTAAAGTTTATTTATCATCCTGAAAAATCCTTAGCACGTTCCTCAGCAGCTATGGTTCAGCGATGGAGTATTGCTTTGAGTGCATATGACTATACGGTTCAGCACAGAAGTGCCAAACAGATTCAACATGTTGATTACATTTCTCGACAATCATTACAAGATGGACCTGTTAATACTTCAAACTGTTTGCTAGTGCAACCTTTACCAGTGAGACGTCCAGATATCATTGAGGAAAATCGTGGATACTTTGGATGTGTGCTGCATGCTATATGGAAAGGTTGGAACCCTAATCTGAAACGCAGATTTCTTGTCTATTTTTCAAAGCATGATGAGCTATCCAATACTCCTGATGGTGTTTTGTGTTCAAATGATTGTGTTGTTATTCCTCCTTTATTGCGTAAATCTGTTCTTGAAGATCTTCATAGTGGTCATTTAGGTGTTGAGAAAATGAAGTCCTTGGCAAGGCTCACATGCTGGTGGCCAGAGATAAATGCAGATATATGTCGTACGGCAAACAATTGTGAGAAATGTCATCAGTTGAAAAATCAGCCTTCGAAGTGGGTGCCATGGCCAGTATCGTCTGAGGCCTGGCAGAGGATTCATGCTGACTATTGTGGACCATTTCTTGGTAAATACTACGCACTAGTAGTCATTGATTCTTTTTCAAAGTGGCCTGAAGTTTTTTTCACAACTTCACCAAATTCTGATTTCACAATACAAGCATTAAGAAAGGTGTTTAGTCGAGAAGGTGTTCCCTTGGTGTTGGTGACTGATAATGGCTCACATTTTGCTGCAGATGCAGTCACTACCTGGTTGAACGGTATAGGGTGCAAACATCTATTTACTGCTCCCAGACATCCGTGTTCTAATGGTCAGGCAGAGAATTTTGTTAGGACATTAAAGACTGCTATTGATTCTATAGCCCCCTCAACATTTAATGAGCTGAAGAGGGGAGTAGATAGTTTTCTACTGCAATACAGAAATGCCAGAAATTCTGTTACGGAAGAGATTCCATCAAAGCTACCTAAAGAAAGAATTATTTGGTCGAATATGAGATGTTTGGAGTCTGCAGAAATTACATATTATCGTGGAAATGATCTTCGACCATCCACGGGAATTGTGCTAAGGAATGTCGATAAATCTATGGTGCGACTTCTAGATGTCGAGGACTTAAGTACAAACAATGGACATGTAGATCAAATACAATTTCAGTAACCAGATGAGTCTGTTCCGATTTCAGTTGTTAATTCTGATGCTAATGAGTACATTCTAGATAATACAGAGTCCTCATCCAATACACTGTCCGACAGATACAGGATGAACTTGAGAAGACGTACAGTCGGTTGCACACATTTAGTCTCCAATTTAGGCTGTGGCGGGTGTGGTGTTTGAATACATTAATGATTCCTTTGTACTTGTTGAGTTCTTGACTTCGAATTCCAAATATAGTACATTCGTTAGTGCTTATCTAGTACTTCTTGATCCACTTGTGTTATTTCTGGGATTCTTAGTTCGTACTATGGTTCAAAAACCCCCACTTATCATACATACCTATAGATGGCTCCACCATCGTGGTGCCATTTCGATTAGCATAGTCCATTGGTAAAACCGCGGGCTTTAATCTCCCTCGATTCCCAAATGTTATCGTTCTGTGATTCGTTTGAAAACACAAATTCTGGATGACAGGTGGTACCGGCGTTCCCTATACTGGTGCTGTTTAAGGTTCGGTACCTTCTGGCATGTTTAAGTTATAACTAATTTAATCTCTTTCCAGTTGCTCTTCATAGTAGTGTCTACTTCTGTGAGTAAATCATGCCAAACTTGGAACTTATTGCTGAGAGCTATATTAAATTGAGCGAGTTTGTCAGTAACTAGAAGAAAATCTGTGTTAAGTTTCTGCGATGATGTTTTCCAGCTATCTAGTGCATTTCCACCTTCAGTCTCACTTTGTCAATGTATCGGCTCCTCATTTCGTTTTCATTTATTCTATAGACCTGAGATTAGATGGTGGTTGGAGGTAGTCGACAGGAAACCCTGGACCCGGGTTTCGTGTTACTTGACACTCATCAGCATGGTGTACCCGTAATCTTGAGGGAACTGGTGCTCCCTGGTGGGTTCGATCCTGTGTCACCCAGCTTCACAATCAGAGATGTTACCACTGAGCTATCCAGGCAACGATCGATTTCCTGTAGGACTGAGATGTAATCACAAGTGGTTGATCACTGGGCGGTGACCAATGTCATGTGTGTTAAGTCCTTATTTAGTGCAGATTGAATAACATGGTAACTCCATGAACGTTGAGAAGTGCAAATTTGGGATGTGATAGTATTCCCAGGTCACATGGTAACTTCTCAGACCACCAAATCAGTCTGAGCAGACGTTGCTGCTATCCTAACATGTCTTTCACCCAAATCAAGGAAGAAATTGTGACGATTTCGATGGCTAATAAACTAATAAAGACGATTTATCCAGAAATGTGCAACAGTATTACTAACACTGACAGACATACTGCGAGGACTCACACGTTGCATGGACACACTGATTTCAAGAATTCCGAATAATCTCGTCTTTAGCTGTGATGCATAATAACTCTACCAGAAGAATACTCTTCAAAATGCAGTCAGTCGATCAAATGGATGTGTAGCGTGGCGTCGAGTGGTGATTGACTATGAGCACCGCTACCAAAAAACACGTGCCAAGTTAATCAGAAGGCGAAGGTTGGACGTAACCAAATAAATCCATAAAATCTCCGAGAAGCCAAATATCAGAAGACAGTTAATGGACCAAATCGAGATATATATTTGCTGGCGATCTCGTGGTATCGAAAGGATACCGAGATCGTGCCAGGATACAAGCTCGGTTACAGAACGTAACCGAATTCGCGCGAAGTCACAATCAAAAGTGTAAGTAAAAGAATGGAAGCAAAATATGGCTGTCATTAACACAATCAAACAAAAGCACATTAAAACAAGCACTGGTACAGTTGGTTATAATAATAATTGTTTCTATCAAACCAGTCGTGTTCTCGTGATAAATGTGAGTCACTACAGATGAAACGACTTTTTCTGCTAGACGTTTTTTTATCGAGGTTGCTTTCTGATGCAAATATTGTTAACCTAAAGCTCAATCCTTCTGTTTTGTCCAGATATGGAGCTGAAAGTATCCCTGGAGAGGCCACAGAAGGAGCTTATCTGAAATCTAGTTTCCTTCCAAATTCAATTAGAATATACTCTCTAGTAACGTAGATCACAATTTTAGGTGTCCTCATTGACCTGAAACCACTTTACGACACCAAGACGTAAGTGCAAACAAGCAAGTATTATATATTAGCTCATTATAAATATGTATTGGATATTGGATGGGTGTTGTTTAAATTGTGCGATGTGTGACACTTGAGTTGCGTGTGGCACAGGTAAGGAATGGTGAGTCGTATTCATGGGTTGTACTAGTTGCGTCTTGAAGGTTTAGTTTCGAAGATGCAGACGTAGTTACTTCGGGTAAATCGTATGAGTTCTCTCATGGTCAAGTAATCTCACTCAGAACTTCTGTGAACAGTTTTGGATTACTCAAAATTCGTATGTAGGCATCACTTCGAGCGTCATACATTGGTTTAATTTGGGCTAACTGATTCGTAGCACCATGGTGCCAGTCTCATAACTAGTACTGAGTTGGTGACTTACAATAGTAGTGAGCAAGAACGATCTAAGACAATAAAGTGTTTACGCTCATCTTCGAAAACTTGCTTGGATCACGTTTTATCTAAGTGTGCACACATTCTGTGGGTGCATAACCGAGGCTAACTGGCTGAATAACTAGTTTGGATAGTGACTTTATGTCAGTCTATGTAGAAGCGTAAAATCTCTATCCTCGTCATTGAAAAGTGAAATCTTTCCGACGTAGTAACGGTTCTATTTTTGGTACTGCCTAGCTCAGAACTCTTGAACCCGCTTAGTTTTATTTGCTCGAATGAAACGTAATGTAGCATCTGTATCCAGAAAGCCCAATCTGCAAACAAATGGTTATTTACAGACAGCTTATCAAAAATGTCGCTTGTCTAATTTGGAATTCATATTAAGTTTTTCAAAATAAAGACAATCGTGTGTCCATTCTCTAGGTAACCAAGCATACTTTTTTTCCCCAGGTTACTACTTTCACCCATGGTGAACTTCACAAGGTTTGTAGAGGCTGGACGCGTTGTATTCATTGCCTCTGGACCTTATGCTAAAAAGGTGGCAATCATCGTAGAAATAATCGACCAAAGACGTGTTCTTATCGATGGGCCATGCTCCGGCGTTCCTAGACAAGAAATAAGTATAAACAGACTGCATTTAACAAAATTAAAGTACAAACTTCCACATGGATGTGGTACAAATTCAGTCGAGAGACATTGGAAAAGGTACGACATAACTAAGAATTGGGAGAACACTGTGTGGGCACGAAAGCTTCATCGCAAATCCCTGCGAGCGGCAATGACCGATTTTGACAGGTTTAAAGTCATGGTAGCTCGTAAACAGGTGAGTCGATAATTATTATGATGAGATTTTGGAAGAGCCGTCTGTGCTTCTTGATGATTTCAATTTACTGACGAGTTGTATTTGTATAACTAACTACCTTTTATTTCTCTTGCAGCGCAACAACATTTTGAAACAGTTCAAGTTGAAAAAGCCGGTCGAGAAAACTTCAAAGCCTGTGAAGAAGGCTGTAAAAAAGTAAACTAATAAATACATGTCGAATTCTCTTTGTTGTCGGCTTGGTTTCCAGTTATTCATTTCTTTACGCGATCCGCATCCTGGGTTAACCCTTTTATACTGCTTGTAGCCAAATTCGATAGGCAAATATCCAGTAATTCTTTGAGACCCGTACGATACGTCAGTCCGAAGTCCTATTACGCTCGAAGGACGCTTAGTTATGCTGTTCATTCGTAATCAGAAAAAGCCAATCAACACTAAATGCTAATACAAATCGCGTCAGGTTGTTCCACTTACTAGGAACGACTTCACAAAAACATCGCGAAACGTTCTTGTTCTTGGTATTATGATAAAGCTAGTTGGGGCCGGGTCATTGTCTCAAAATCTCACCTAAGACTACTGTACGTTACATAGTTAAGCGGTCCGCTCCAGGGTTATATCTACGTTTTTCAGTAGTAAGTTGGTGCCTTTAGGTGTAGGTGATCTGTATGTTTTCTCCTAGAGTTAGTCGATGAACCCAGGCTGTTTTTCCGGAAGACTGATTTAGCCGTACCGGGGGCTCCTAGCGACTGTAAAGACTTCGTAACGTGGTTAGTGATGCAACGTGGGCATAAAATGCGCTGCAGTCGAAACTTGGGTTTTGTTCGTGGTGATCAATGAGATGGATGCATAGACCTATACTGCAGCAGACATGTTTGATTTCTAGGATTAAGTGCCGGTTATTGGACGTTTTATGTAGCTCGGTGTTCTCTTGAACTCCTTTGGGCTTGTAGCCGAGCGTTATTATCATGAAGTGCAGAAGGTAAGCTGGTAGAAAGTACAAGTAATGAGTGTTAATGTATTTGTTTGTAGCATAGTAATTCATTTAGTCGAATGCTGGTCAGTTACAGTTTGTTGTTTACGCATTCGATCAAAGACAATTTAGTGGAGGAGATTCCCCTTTGACGTAATTTACTCCGGCTATCCAATTGTATTTACACTTAACAATCTAAGTGGCGATTAAATCTAGTCATGTCAAAGGGAGTTGCTTAATAATCGAAAATTTGCAGTGACAAATTTGAGTAAGGTCAGGCATAAACTACAGCTGTGATAATTAAAATTCCGTAGAAACAATCCTTCGATAGTATCTCTTGGACTCAAAGTTCCTGAAGAATTCTCTTACGAACTGTATGGTGCCGTACTACTTGCAATTTAGGTTTAGCCTTTTACCCATTAAGCTTGGGTCGGTAGCCATGTTTGGGGAATATCTGTCCCAGCTTGGATAATTCCTCGTCTATCATGTCTTCGGAGCATACCTGGCTTTGGCAGCTGTCAATCGTCGGTTAAAACACTGCATGCACAAGATTGGCAATGAAGTTTGCTCAAAGAGGACCGGGCGGTGGACTCCTAGATATATTGCTTGTGGAACTCATTATTAAATCTAAACTAGACACTGGATGTACATCTGAGGAGTAACTCCTTTAGATAGTGTTTTGGAACACCAGTATCGAGGGTGTTGTTCTCGACGTCATTACATAAAAGACATGGTTTACGTTGATGGGACTTTGGTGAGAAGTGAAATTACACCTAATGATATGATTTCCATTGTGGTTACATTAACATCAGTAATTGAATTGAATAAGTTGGATTAGTCGGGTGTTCTGTATTTGTTGAGCTGATTTCTAACAGGTTATCCACACTGAGCTGTCTTCAATTCTTCTTTAGTAGACACCATGGGTTACTTTCTATATCTTAGGACACATGGTTGTCAAAATTGCGAGTGATTGTGGAGTATGGCGAGTTTAACCCGTTACTCGGACCGTAGTGCTAAAATGATGTTAAAATAGGAAACCAGGAGTTGTTCAGTTAAGCGACTACTTGGCTGAAGTCCTAAGTATGATGCAACTCGGTGGCTTGAGACTTCGTCACACATGAGTCAGAATAAAAGCCGATGGCAGCCCTGCTGAAATTTTCTCCATATAAATGAGAGGCACTTCTATGACTGGAAGTATTCATTCTAATTGCATTCACACTTACTGAACCGCTCCCACTACTATTTCCACTCACGCCAACTCATTCTTTGTAATGGGCATAGCAGGTAGGTTGATTTGCGTTAACTCTTGCATAAAGCACCTCATTGTAGACCCTACTTCCTTTTAGGTGTTTGCTAACTGGGTAGATACTACCTGCTTGTGCAAGACGTCCCAGTCGTTTATGACTCGGTGAAAAAGCAGGAATCCCGAATCGAGTTTCCTGTCATGATTTATGAACCCTTTCTGATAACCTCGGAAGTTGTTATTCTTAAAAGGAACCAGAACAATGAAACATGTTAACACCCCAGACAATACTTAAGATATGGATGTATATGTCCATTCCTAATTCACATTAACGGACAGTTGTCCATCATTTGAAGGGATGATCGTCGGTTCCGATCACAACTAAGATAGTATATTTAATTGCCCGGAACATAAAACTAGTTAATCTCGTAAAAACAAACAAAGTTAGTGAGGATTCCGCATAGCAAGTGATATATAAAAACTACACATGACGACGAACATTGGTGTTTAACGCAAAATAATATACTTAGCGTCGAAGTATTAGCTATTTCAGAAAAGATCTCGACTCAAATCATCTTTTGTTCGCATAGAAACATAATTCATTTTGAGATCATTAGTAGCTCCAACATTAAATATGTTACATTGCATGCGATTTCTATAATTTAGCCAACCATCGTTCCAGTCAACTAATGGGATTATTTAGATTTATCTACTACAACTCCTAAGATCTTCAGTTGCGTTCTAAGAAAACCTAGCAGAATCGAGATTTGTGAGTTGATTAGAACTAATTACCATAGTTTAATACTTACTATGCACACTGGCTTAGTAATTTTCCTCAGCCCTGTAAATCGTAAAGCTCTTCAGAAGTGCAAATAAATTTCAAACAAAATTTACAGTTTACTTAGTCATATTTACTCAAATCCAATCGATCGTGGGGACCATCTCAGATAACATCATACTGGCTATCCGTTAAATATGGTTTAATTTCCATTTAAGAGCAGTATAAATCTAACTGAGGAAGTCAATGTTCATCTTTAATCACATAAGGACTGACCATCTACTTGATTCTGACACGTTCAGCACAGCCATACAGAAAACGATATGATAGCAGGAATACTTTCAGCACCCATATGAAAGTTCTTAACAAACTCTACACATCTGTGGAATGACAGATCTCCATTGCCCACCTACGCCAATATCTTTATTAACAAGAAATGACTTGAGATTAGTGGGGCGTTAACTACTCATTTGGGTCGGCTGGTGAGGAGGGTTCAGAAACTTATCAGTTCTTCGATCTAGCCTTTAGTCATAGTTTCGAAGTAACCATGTGGTTAGAAAAAAATGTACGTGTTTAAATTTAGACCACAATCCCAACATTAATTCTACACAACTAACTACTAATTAGAGCTAATCAAACATCCTTCTAATTAGCTTTCTCTCTGAAAGCTCTGTTGAGTTAGCCTATTTGCTGTTGTTGTACTGAGAAAGTCAAGACATACCTTTCAAAAACAAAAATGCTCCAATTAGAATTACTCATCAGCTATCTATAGGCATGTATTTTGATAAGGCTGCGTGGCAGAATGTAGTAAAACTGAACATGAAAGTGACTAGACGAGTATGCTTAGTCAGGACACTGGTAACACCATAACTAAAAAGACGTTTTCCAGTAACTAAGGTATAATCTTAACACAGTAACAACCGTAATGTAAAGGTACATTAAACAGCTTTAAGAACAATGTCTTGCAAACATACACTGAAGCACTAAATTTTACGAAGACAATCAACTTCAGTTAGGATAGTTATTCTACGCTAAATTTTATAGAACATAAATCATCCAATCCAGCTTCAATTTCATCACCAGATTTCAGAGGCCCTACACCAGCAGGTGTACCGGTTAAAATTAGATCTCCATATTGTAGTGAGATTCTCTTGGTAATTATCGATACTAAATCTGCTGGTGTCCAGACCATCATATTTAGTTTTGATCGTTGTCGTTCCAACTGGTTTACTTTTAACCAAATCTCATTATCTACTTTTTGGAATTCCTGACGAGAAGTTAAAATACCGGCCGGTAGTGATTCTAATGGAAGAATCGGCCCCACAGGGCAAGCTGTGTCGAAGCATTTAGCCAACGTCCATGGTAGTCCGCTTGCTTTTAGTTGATTCTGAAGTGGTCGGTCAGTTAGATCTAACGCAACCACATAACCTAATATTGCTGAATAAACCTAAATAAAACAAACATTAAAATGTATACGAGGTAATTTAGCATTGAATGCAAAAATATGAAAGTGATTCATCTGAATATTCATTTGAGTTACAAAAAGTCAAGACAGCCATGTGACTGTTAGATGTACGAATTCAATCCTATTAATCATCTTGTGTCCAGTTATGTGACTAGTTCGGAGCCTTTAGCTGTATACCGTACTAACACACCTTTTTGTGTCTAACTATCCTGACTTTTCTGAACAGTGGACGCTTGAAATACGTTGTTTAGTGAGAACACTGTGGCTTACATTTCCGTTCAATATAATTCAGAGTGAATCCATCCGATACAATTCTGGATTTATTTGTAACGTTACAATTCGGGACAATTTCAACCCTACGCAACTATTGTACGTTTCAACACGTGTCATTACAGTTCCAATATGTTAAGGAGATGGTCTAATTCTAGTGATAGGCTAATAATTTATCTATTTCAGCATATTAATGCCAATCATTTTTATCAAATGCTTATTCGGTTTATTAATTGCACCCTTGCTTTAACCATTAAATTGCATATTTGGCATTAACGCTACTCAAATGTATACAAATGAGTTATTCTTACATATCTACCTTCGCTACACGAAACTTAAGGAATAAATACAGCGTTTCTCAATCTCCCTGTTTTAGGGTTTTCCCAAAAGTTTTAAGAAACATGGTAGTTATCCCCAATGTTCGGGCAAAAACCAAAGTTTCCCCAGAACTTTCGGGATTTTCCCCAGACCTGGAAAAACTTTGAGGTTCTTGTACCATGTTTTCAAAGTTCTCTATAGCAGTTTCCCCACAATCTCCCCAAAACAGACAAAATCCCCCCCCAAAAAAATAAGGAGATTGGATTAAATTGAGTGGATTTTTTACTTCTTCTGCTTTGACATTTCTCAGCGATTTCCCAATTACCAAACCAAGTTCAACTTCATGATGGACTTCACTGGCCCCATTTGGTAACTACATATTAGGGATAAATGATTAAGTAAGGATTGTCACAAAAAACTTTAATTTTTCCCTCCTCAATGATGCAACTAGAAGGCTTTAAAAATATAGCAGGCGAAGATTCAACTTTATTTCCTAATTCTTTTGCATGGTCTCTAAATATAAGCACTTAGTAACCACAATCGTACGCATAGTTTCGCCCAACCGCCACTACTTTTCGACAAATATCCTTCAGATTTTTTGACATTAGTTATACACAATATACTTCTTGTAATTTGAAAGATTTAAACCATCCTTGTTGAACGAAAAAATAAGCTAATATAAAAGTACTTCAACCTACCTAGTCTTCATCGCACAAATGAGAAAACAACGTAATTGTTAAAATGGGCGGTGGAATCAAATGTTTGTCATAAGCTTGTATATGTGGCGGTTAGCATCCAGCCAAAATATACTTTGTTTACTGAGGGAACATATGAATTTGCGTGAGTGAAGGGGATTGGATGAGAGGAGAAAAAGTAAAAGTGAGTTGTAAACCCACCAAGTGCACGCGATGCACCTACATTTTTGTAGAAAAGCAATTAACAACAAACAGAAATAACACACGTCGCAGATTATGACAGTTTTGGGGTCGGAATTAGAAGCGCATAGTTCAAATCGCTGCACTAGACATAGTCCGCATAACTTCTGTCGATTTTATATGGCCCCCTATTCTGACTGGGATTTGAGTGAATGTATAAATATGCGAGGCTAGCCGCGCTTGTATGGCGGCCGTAATAAGAAGCTTATTACAGGTTGATTTGGATGAATCTATTTCAAGCGCTCTGTTATCCAAACAAACCATCAATCAAACGAAGAAGAGAAGTAGACTGGAAGAGGCAAGTGTGCCAACCTCACTTGATAAATCGTTATCCGATATTTATATGCAAACGAAAACAAAGCAATGCACACACATACATTCAAGTAAAAAGAATAAGGATTAATAACCGGATGAATAACACGGTCGAAATACGGCATGAAAAGAATTGTTGGACCGGTCTGTCTGGAAGTTAGAATAACCCATATGGGCTTGACATGGTACTAGACACTACAGACTAATCACACATACAACATACATATAAAAAGTCCAAATTGAAATCAACTTAAGATATCTACATTTCAGACATTCGTGTAAGCAGACGAACAGAACGAGTGGAAATTAAGATTGAATAGGCGTAGACAGCAGTGGTTTTAAATATCGAAACGACCAATAACATGGGGGTTAGTCTGTATGAGGGTGATTAATGTATGATTTACGGATAACAAATTAGAGTTCAGATGATGGATATACATGGTGCGAACACAATTGGAAAAGATTCAAAGTTAACAGTGTATATTTATCAATGGTAAGTATACGAAAATAGACAAGTAATACTGCAAGCGGATATAAGCATACAAGCATACGATATAGTCAGTAAGGTTGGAATTAAACCTTCAAAGGTCAAACGACGGTCTATATCAATCTGTTATGCTAATTCACTAAACGATTTTGAATTTGAGTTACAAACAGTGGCCAACCCTTAGCGGCTGAGCTACACTGTCTCGCGTTCACCTTTTCTGACCTTCTCCAAACGTTCAGCTGGCAACGTAAGTTTAGCCAGTCATTTTGTGTTCACTTTCAAGGATCGCGTGGTTCGGAACCAATGCCACTGCAAGTGTAGGGCCAGCGAAGTAACACTGAGAGCTATCCAAAACATGCAGGAGGCAGATGATTGAATTTTGGACAGTTTAGTGGGCCTCATCAAGATCAGAGGCAACAAACGCTCATCGATCACGCCATGAACTGACCCATTTGGTAGACGTTACAATCAGCTTCTCAGTGTATACCGACTATCAAATTTCTTTTGTAACATCTTGTTTGTTGCAAACGGCCAAAAAGTAACCACAGTCTCAAGGTGGCGTGAAGGGTCATTTCACGTTATGTCGCTAATGTTTCGGCACGACCAGACGATCCCTACCTGTAGATGTGTCATATAGTGGACTTCCCCTAATTGTTCGCATCTATTTGATCCGTAATTTTAGAGTTGTTAAAGATAACTTGTAACGAGTTTAGGTAGGTCGAACCCTTGGAAACTGTTCAGGAATGTTATACGAGAAAAAGCATCTGCGACTACACTGTTTGCTCAGAAATATGTTGTATTTCTGAAGTGAACTGCTGAATGTTTTCCAGTTACCGACTCTCGAGGTGGGGTACTTGTCTGAATAAGAGCTAAAAAAAGAAGATGAGAGGTATGTGGTTGGTAAACAGAGTGAATTCGCGACCTTCTACATAGCGTTGAAAATGACGTACAGAACAATACATGGTTAAGAGTTCCCTCGACTCAGTGTCTCGCAACCGTCTCGAGAAGAGTCCTAAAAGTTGCCAAGTGCTGTTGTGATAATTAGTTTTTGAATTATTGTACATACTAAGAATCCCAGAAACAACGTGGTTTAGACCAATAAGAACTAGGTGAGTACGGACGAACGTATTGTATTTGGAATTCGAAATCAGACAGTCATCAAGTACAAAGAAATCATGAGTTCATACAAACACCACAACTGTTCACCCATTGTTGTAAGATCATCCAGATTGCCAGGTAGGGTGTGCTTACCGCGATACTGATGGGTGCTTTGATGTCCTGGCTTGCGAACACGGTTGCTTTTGCCATAAGTTTCCCAAATGTTAAGAGTTCATTTTTGGCGTCGTCATCCAAATTGGTGATGGTTTCACCAGCGACGCGCAATTCGGTATAAGACATCGACAGAAACTTACCAGGCTGTTGAACGTCCGTAGTTACTTGACTTTGGTGGGTTCTGGATTATCCGGATTACCACCACCTTGCTTCATAGTGACCGGATTCGTTGAGCATCAATAGTGTGTCCGAGAAAATCTATGGAGTCGGTTCCGATTTGATATGTCTGAACATTTACGGCAGTGTTGCGTTTTTGTAGTCGTTCGACATCAAGGTCCAGATAGTGGAGATGAGCTTCCCTGTTTGGACAAGCATTCATCTACATATGCGTTTATGGAGTTGAGACCTCGAAAGGCGTCCTCGCTGAATTGCTGTAAGATGTGTAGCATTTCTTAAACCGAAGGGCATGCGCAAAAACTCATAGGGTCCGAAGGAGATAATGTTAGTGGAGTATGGATGTCATCAACAGGAATGGGGTTTGGTTCAATCAAGTCCATTTTTGAAAAATCAGCTGTCGAATATAGTTCTCACTGAAGCTCAATGTCTTCTTTTTGAAGTAGTAGTAAGGTCACTACTCACCGCTTTGTATTTTAGGATCTTTTTTCCCTTGCGTACCTCGATGTCTACGGTTCCATAGGCTAAGGCCACACTAAATGTTTTTATCTGCATTTCTTGGTGTGTATAAAATGGAAGGGCTAGGTCATCTGAGAAGTCCGAACCGTCTAGATGACGCCGAGCTGTTTATTATACACTGCGTTTTCTCAGCGATGTAAAGGTTTTCATAGTCCAGTCGAGCACCAGAAGAAAGAGAAAGGAGGAGAGTAAGCGGCCTTGTCCTCACGTGGAGTGCGTCTGTCATCTGTTCTTCATGCAAAACTTTGCAGTGTAGTCTGTTTTATGAATTCCGGATGATGTTGACCATTTTCTCAGGTACATCATAGTGTCGAAGAAGATTCCATAATGTTTTCCTGTACACACTGTCAGATGCTTTCTCATTGTCAAGGAAGTTGATGTATAGTTACGAGTTCCATTTGATTGATTGTATATCGATGATCCGCAGTGTCTCGATCCGGTCTGTGCACGACCGATCCTCACGGAACCCAGCCTGTTGATCTCGAGGCTGGACATCTACTGAATCGTTCATCTGATTCAACAACACTGTTGAAAACCTTTCCTGGCAGTTAAAATAACCCTTAGCGTCAATGAGGAATAAAAAAAGATTTCAGCGAGTCTTTGCTTTTTTCTCTTCCTCACTTTTATTTGATTATTACTGAATTTTTTAAATTATTGTTTTGCAATTTTAGAATTTGTTCAGTTATTATTATTATTACAAGTTTGCTTAATTATTATTCGGTTTATTATTATGACCTTGAGTTTGTTATTTTTCTTCATATCTGACCTATGAAGTTTCTTCTTCCTTACCCCTTGATTAGTACGCAACCTCATTTGATATTTAGTTTCAAATCAATTCATGATGCAATCTCTTCTACCCCCCAATGGACGTATATTTTCCACATAAGTATATATACGAATGTACAGCCCAAGTAAATGATATCGTCGAAAAGAAAACACTTCCTGATACTGGCAGTAATGCGATGCTTCTGTAGTTCTCACATTCTTAAGGTCTTCCTTTGGTGTCTTGATGAGGTATCCTTCTTTCCAGTCTGTCGTTAGCGCTTGTTCCTCCTCCCAAGTCTTCCTGAATAGAATATGGTGCACGTGTACGATAGCTTCTATGTCTAACTTGAGTGCTTCGGCCGGTATATTGTCTCACTCTTGAGTTGTCTGATAGCCGTCATGATTTCTTTGATCGTTGGTGAGGTGACATGTTTAGAAAAGTCTATATGTGCTGCTTCGATATCCGGTGGATTCAACGGCGCTGGTCTATTCAAGAGCTCCTCAAAGTGTTCCACCTGTCTGTTCCTCTATCCTTGAATTTCAGTGATTTGCTTGGCTTCAATGTCCTTGACCGGCCTTTGCTTTGCTTTGTTTCCCTGCTGGTTTCTTCGTCATGTCACATAATTTCACATTCCCTTCTCTTGCAGATTTTCCTCACCGTTGTTGCTGGTTCTTCCACATATTTTTGCTTGTCGGTTATAATGCTCCACTTCATTTGCTTGTTTGCTTCTGTATATCAAATTTGTGCTTTGACTTTCAATGTTCTTTTCGGTTGTTGTTAATTGTTATCTATTTATTCTTCCTTCCTTGAATCTTGTCCATAGTTTCTATAGAGATCCATTCCTTATGATGATGCTTCTTTAGGCCCAGCACCTCCTGACGCGTTGAATTTAATGCTTTTTTGATCCATTTCCAGTTATCCTCCGTTGTAGTGTTGTCTTCTTTCAATAGATCCTGTAAGGCTGTGAACCTGTTGTTGAGGGTTACTTTGAGTTAGTCAGTATGTTGAAGGAAGTCTGTTTGTCCACTTGTCCAGTGCTTCCCTAGCTTCGGTTTTATCTTTTCCACAATCACGTGGTGATCTGAAGCTATGTCAGCTCCTCTCCGGTTCTCATGTCTTCCACTGTAAATTTTTCAATGATGTAAATATGATCTGTCTCGTTCTCCGTGATGTGGTCCGGTGAGACCCATGTTGCTTTGTGTCTGTGTTTGCGTAGAAATATTGTGCCGCCTATAATCAAGTTGTTGATTGCACGTAGATTTGCGAATCTCCCACATTTTCGTTTCTTTCTCCAGGTCATTCCATGTTGTCCCATGATGTCTTCATATTCAGTGTCGTTCATTTCGACTTTGACATTTAGATCTCCCATCAGGATAGTGAGGTCCTTTCTTGGGCATCTCACCATGATTGGTTACAGCCACTCGTAGAACTGATCTTTATCATTGTCATTGCTATCACTGGTGGGTTCATAACATTCATTGTGATTTCCTCTATTTTTGTTTTGAAGGATGCT